AATGCAAAGAAAATTTTTAAGAAATAGTAAAGAGTCAAAAAAATAAGTCGAATAACGAAGAAAATAATATAAACGAGAAATAAATTTTTAGAAAAATGTCTAAAGGTAATAAAGTAATGTAACTCAGTAATGAAGAAGAAAATATAATTTGTTAATACATTTTTAGGAAATAGTACACTGATCGAAAATCCAAACAAAATGTTTCGTTTTTTTTGGTACGCAACAAAACCAATACCAAATTTTGATTTTCTATACTTCGCAGATACTATTAATTCAAAAAAAGTCTTATCTCGACGACTACTTTACTCAGAATAACTGATAAATGCTCATTATTATTATTGCACCCGGTCTTATAACCTCGGAAATCAATCGGTCTCGAATGGGTTAAATGATCGTTTTCATATTTTTTGTTTCACATTTTTTTTGCCTTCACAACGTTTTACAATAGTGTTAACAATTTATAGACAGAATATACAATCTTCGTTTTTGATACGCCAGTGTCAGGTATGAATTGCTGCTCTTCATTTAAATAAATATACCAAATGTTCTTTTTAACATGCATATGCCATCCGTATCCTTATAATTTTTTAGAACAGCATTTTCCTTCACACATTGCAGAGCTGTATCGTTTGTAATGAGTGGATAAGGATCACCCCACATTAACGTCAGGTGATAACAACGGGGTATATAAGATCGGGTTCGACTCGGGTGTTTGGCGCGGAAAGAACAAATGATAGCGGCAAATCCTTTTGTCGGAATGTCTGTAGAATGATTGAGAGAGAAAGCGTGTGTATAGAATGAGATAAATCTGGCTTTAAACAGGGATGCAAGGGCACGAGGCAGATAGATGGTGTGTAGTCGAGAATAGAAGATTGCGTGTAGAGTTGAGAAGAATCTAGTGTGATATCTTAATTAAATAAACCTGTTTTATTATTTAAAAAAAATTCTTTTGTCAATTTTTCGCCTAACATCGTTTACGCGTGATTCGCGTTAAACTCTGCTTTACAGAGAAACAGTCCAGCGCAAAATTCAATCGTGCTTAAGAGGTTAATTTCGCAACTTGCAAATTCGTTTTAATTTCTATTTAATAATTGATATTGATCAAGAGCTTAGTTAATATACGTATTTCGTAGTATACTATATACTTATTTATTTTCGTTATATCACAATAATTAATATTAATTATATATACTATATTTAGGTACATACTGCACGTCGATAATTTTAGCGTTAAAGTATACAGGTTGTATACATAATCAGTCTTATTTACACAACCCAGTTACCGGATAAATGATAAATATCTTGGACAAGTGCGTTAAGTGCGTCACTTATTCGCGATTACGCATCCACTCGCATTGGACTATCTATTAACGAATCCTTGGCCGCAGAGGAAACTGCAACGGGATTTTCAATTTTCTTATTTCTCTTAGTCTCTCTGATTTCTTCCCAGTCTCCGAAATTAAAAGTCGTCCGAAAGATCCGAGTTTTCGTACGATTGAAAACGTTCGAAAGGCTGTGACCAACCGAGCGAACGCTAGCAACGATGAAGACTTCCGTCACTGCTTCGAGAAATAGGAAGTAGTCTCCGCCGATGTATCGCTTTTCAAAGAGACTACTATGAATCACTTCTGGCGATAACTGTACCTCTTAAAGGAGAACACAGACATTTATATCTATATACAGATATTTCGAGAAAGATTGATTATTTCTTTTATAAATATTTTCATGATCCGATACACCGAGAATGTTGTTCGAAAATTTGCGAATAGAAATTCTCAGAACTAAATGATACTCTTGATTCTTTTCTGGGCTGAAAATTTGTTATTATATTTATCGCAGTAGATATTAACCCTTTGCACTCGAGAGGTGACTTTCAGTCACCATTTAATCAGATTCTAAAGATCGACGTTAATTAATATATATGAAATTTAAAATTAGCTAACGATGTGTGGAATATCGAAGAAAAATAATTCTATGTCTTAATTTGCATATGATTTCTCATTTACCATTTTAAAAATATCGTCGATTTTATGATAGAATGTCTTTGAATTACTATTTTCCTATAACGAAAAAGTCGTCGAGTGCAAAGGGTTAAAATGAGAAAATGTGGGGTAAACATAATATTAAACATCGTAACAAAAGGGATAACGATACATAATTGCTCTTTTGTAATTTGTCTATCATTGATAAAAATCACTTGAGGTGTAAATCCAATTTGGTACACACGACTTACTACGTGCTAAGTATTATAAAAATACAGAAGACGGCTAAATGGAAATTTATAGCATAGTAATTTAAATAATACAGTCAAATGCACCGTGATATATCAATGGCGTGCAATTAATCAACCGTCTACTTATTATCAAGAACCATGGGAATTTCTGCGTAACACGAGGCGTGCACGAGAGTTTGAACGACTGTCAGATATCGACGGATGAAGATAATGAGGAACCCTAGACGTCAGAAATCAGTCGTAATTGCGCAAAGGTGTTTTTCGTTTTCTTCGTGGCGAACTCGAATCGGTAAAATTAATTTCTCGTTATTTCGCTACCCCTGGCGACGGTTAACGAGGGTTCACAACTATTCCATCGCGCGAAAATTGCTGCAGGCCGACGATTAGTTTCAGAGTATCCCCGGGCTACCGACGGATTAATTTTCAAATGCCCAACTGTCTCGCAGAAAAATCCTTCCATCCTTAACGATTCCGATAATTTTCGTAATTTCGCGCCGACAGATCCGTCGTTTCATTAGCAAATGCTGCAATTCTCGTGCAGGAGTAAATCTCAACCTGAAAGTTTCCGACGCTTCTTATGCTCCTTTTGATTTATTTCTGCATTTTTTATTTTTTTTTCGAATTTTATATTAATATTTAATTTCTTTTTCTTCTATTGAAATCAAGATTTTCTTGCTTTGAGAAAAAGATACGTGTATTTTTCATCTGTAGCATATTATCTCTTATCTCTGATATGTGATTCTACTGAAATTAAAACTTGAATATAATTATTCTGTTTTGGTCATCTTTCTTTTTTCCCCCCTAAATATTTTAATATTTTTAATTTTAGCAGAAATTTCGATAATGATTTTTCATTAATTTCAGCGTTGTCTCTGTATTTTTTCAAGAAATTATAATGCAATCATATATGAATTTTAGTTTACAGTATGGTAAGGCAACCGGAAAGATATTTCATTTACATACTTTGTCACGATAAATATCCTTTCCTATAACTGAGCAATCATTATTACTTTATAATTTCATGTTATGTACTTCGCTATGTGTGGAATTTTAAACGACACGCGTCAATTATGCGAGCCTTTGAAGACTGCGCGCAAACTGATTGATTACTAATTCTTTACGTTTTTATAAAAACATAGTCAATTAACTATGAAAGTAACGTGAAAAGTTATTGAACACGACTCATTAACGTATTTCTTACAAACCTGTAGTTACAATACGCGAATGAAATATATCATCTAATATTATCATTTTTGATATTTAAATTGTCAGGAATTTTTTCAAACTCGCGATTATGAATATTTACCGTGATGTTTCTTTGTTTCTTTTATACCTGTTAAAAATTTTAAATGCAATCGAACACGATATTCAAGCCGATATTGGTAGAAGAGTTTATCGTGTTGAACGTTAATATATTCTTCTCGCTGAAATATCGTATCGCTGGTAGAAAATTTATCGATTTATTGAATCAATATTACATACCAATATGTGTGATCTATTATTTTCGGAATATGATTTTTCTCCTCTTTTTATTAACTATAATGCGGAATGAATGATAAAAGCAGCTTTATTTCTGATTTTTCCATAAATCTATGTATATAACGGTCCCAGAGGATTATAAATTATTTAAAGCATTCGTTATACGCATAACGTAACGTAATAGAAATATTTTAAAAAAGGTGGATTAGTATTTAAAAAGTAAATTTCAGACACGTTTCACTCATGAATCTCTCCTCGCGAGTCCATAATTCAAAGGTTTGAGAGAAAGAATAGAAATGAAAAAAATTTTGTTATAGAAAAGTGAGGTTAAGTGGAGGAGGCTAAGCGAAGGTTACATACACTCTTTATTTCTATATGATATAAATAACTATAACCAGTGTTAACTATACCAATAATATATAATATCTATATTAAGAAAACATAAATATAAATAACTGCAAATATACGGTACATGACGAAATAATAGCACACTTCGTAGATTTCGGTGCTTTTTGGAATTAACCCTTTGCACTCGAGAGGTGACTCTCAGTCACGATTTAATCAGATTCTAAAGATCGACGTTAATTAATATATCAAATTTAAAATTATCTAACGATGTGTCGCATGTCGAAGAAAAATAATTCTACGTCTTAGTTTGCATACGATTTCTCATTTACCATTTTAAAAATATCGTCGACTCTTTGACAGAAAGTCTTCGAATTATTATTTTTCTGAGACAAAAAAGTCGTCAAGTGCAAAGGGTTAATGCAATGTATGCATATGTTAGACGTGCACTCTTATAATATATCCGGTTCTAAAATATAGAAGAATTACATGTTTACATGTTTTTCTACATATTTTCACGTGTTAAGTTTGCGAAATAAATAAATGAAAAATATCGATTTCTGCTATTTTTCCGAAAATATTTCGAGGCTAGTAATTTTTTCCAATATCTTTATCAACTTTTTCGAATAATACTAACCTTCCTCTGTAAAATCAAATTTGATTTATAATATTACATCCATGAAAATTATAGAGCGCGCTTTTATTCTGCCACGTACTATAGTATATAGTAAGTACAAGATGTTCGAAAGGAAACTTTTATTTAAGTTTACTATGCGATCATGTATGATTGGCGAAATCGAAGAGTATATAAAAATTCGTGAATGATTACTCGGTTTAACTGCTGCCAGCAAGTGCGTTATCCGACTTATGGTTAGCGTTTAAATGTAAGTTGGCGTAGCTATCGTTCGAGGACAGTCGATAAAACCGATTTCCTTTATTACAGGATGGTCCGCATGATCGGCGATGAATTCCTTACGGAGGAAAGGGACCGGAAATACCACGCCGACCATTACACGTGTTGCCCGCCGCCTCTCTTTATCATCCTCATCACTCTCGTGGAGGTCAGTAGCATTCCTAATATCGATACGCATACGTAACACCGGTACTCGCTCTACGACTCGAAGCTCGCGGGCCTTGATCAGGCCGCGTGATGCATGGTTAACGAATTTTTCACGAAAATTACACAGTGAGAATGTGCGAGGCGACGAGCACGAGCGGGACAGAGTTCCTGGAACCACGTGCTCCGTTATTTATTAAAAATACCTTTGACACGCGTGTCTCTCTCCAGCCAACGTCTGTCGTCCCTGTCCCGCCGTTCGAACAGCGTGTCGTTACTTTTATACCGTTCCGCGATTAATATCGCGACAACGATGGCTCGTCTTTTTTTCGCCAGGCTGAAAAGGGGTCCCGTGCCTTTTTCCTCTCCGCGCGTTATCGCTTTAGTCGCGTTATTAAATTTCCCCGTGTGAATTTGTTTTCACTCGTGCTCGCCAGCGGCAGCGGCCACTGCTGGGGCTGCTGGGGGTGGTAGGGAGAAAGGGTGCACGTTGCGTGTAAAGCAAGACCGTTAATTTTGGTTTACATTATGCGGCCAAGTTCCGGGCCAGCGAGAACAGGGGAGAGTTTATGGGTGAAAGTGTAAAATGCCGTAAAAGTTGGTATAAAATTGAAATAACACACGTTACGCCGAAGCATGTTTTCTGACTTCGTTTTAAATTGCAGCGGCGGGGGGATTGTTATTCGCGCCGGGCTACGTTGCAGCCCCGATAACTGCATTATTTACATCGCGCGATATTAAACAGTCTCGTAAATGATACGAGCTTCTTTATTTTCGGCCGGCAAAAAGCCTGGCCAGTCGAACGAATGAAATTCCATTTAAACGCTGCTCCTTTGATAAATGCCTTTGAATTCTCCCGATTTCCAATACGGAGAGACAATAAAGGCAACGGGCGTACAAAAGGTGAACGCGTTCAAGTACTCGCGGTGCATTAACATGCAGAAATATTTATTTAGTAAACTTATTTGCTGGAAATGTCGGTTTTGCGGTCTACTCGTCTGGAATTAATGATCTCGTAATTTTGTACCGTTGTAAACATACCACCGAAAATTTTATTTCCGCCCTCCCGATTTCTCGTTTTAAGTAGTCAGTAATGAACTCTCTACTTGTTTATTATTTTCAATTATTCCTATTATAATTTCTCTCTTGCCGCATACGAACGACACGCCTCCCTTATTTTTACACTTGCAAATTCGTCGTTTATTCACTGGAATAACTAGCAAATTATATTTCGATTGTTACGTTGCAAAGAGGAAAAGTATATGAACTCGAGGCTTCGTTTATTTAATTTAAGCACGAAATCAATAGAAGTTACTATTCTTTACAAAGGCAACAAGTCGTGGCAAATTATTGCATCGATTTTCTGGCAACTTTAACGTATAAAAGCTAGTTTATGATTAAAATAATCTGAAAATCTGTTCAGTATGTTTCACATTATCGTCATTGTCTTATTCAGTGTGTCATTTGCAGAAATACATTGTTACAAATTATAATTTGCAAATCATAATCACGACGTAATCAATTTTTAAAGAACAAAATAACCTTTCGAATATTCTTTATAGTTTTATATAGTTCGTATACTACGTTTACGTATTAATGTTTCAAACAATTTAAATCACCGTCGGAACAAGTTTTTTGATAAAACTTAGTTTTCGGAAATTGAAACGAATTATGATAAAAAGGAAATCTTCCAAGTCGATAACCGATAAATTTCTTATTAACCAGAAGCCAAAGTGCATCTCACTCCTCGAGCCTTTTTACTGCTTTTTATTTTCGCAAAAATTATTAACCGTTGTAATTACCCTTTGTGGCAAGAATATCTCGTTTGTATGATAATAGGCGAAGCGTAGTCAGGTTCTTTTGACGCGTGGGCGCGATGCGTGATCGACCAATTTTTTAACAGAGGCAATTCGTATGCGAAGAATTTCACTGCGCTATATCGCGACCGGCGAAAATAAATAATAAATCGCCGCTCCCGTCCATTTCTCCGATCGCGTCGACCAATTTTAGATAAATGCTCTTGATACAGGTATTCCAATGAATTTTTAACGAGAGTATTTTGCAACGATTTACATCCGCAAGCATCACCGTTTAATTGGAAACGAAATAATCGACGTCGATAATTTCGACTCGCGAGCAGTAATATCGTAACGTTTCGAATATTCCGTTGAAAAATTCTTAACTCGCTGAATTATTTAGCGATATACCTGCACATTCGTATCGTTTTCCATTATACTCTATGTAATAGATACAGCGTGAAACGCGGTTAAATTGTATATAACAGGGAAAGGAAGAAAAATTAGAAGTTTCGATGTTTAGCGTTGTTTCCACTTTTCTACATTTTCCATCAATTTTTATCGCTCGACGAATTACAGTCGACGATAAAAATATTCGAGGTGACGTATAATTTTATTTATATTAATATTCTTCTGTATTAATAATACTGTTACCTGTATTTAGTATTTTTCAAATTTTTCCATTCTTTTTCTTATATGTAGGTTTTTAAATATGTGCAAACTGAGGTTCTTATTTTCTATATTTAATATTTCACACCATTTTAGCGTTTTCTATTTTCTTTTTTCTTTTCTCGCGAATATTTTATTTTTCGAATACATATGTTCGATGACAAAAGTGTTCTTTTAATTCCTATTGATTTTAGTCTGTGTATTATAAATTACTATGTAGTGTACTTATACTATGTCTGTGTATAATTAATATACGGTGTAGTATTTATGGTGGAAAAATGAAAATGAATAAATAAATTCTATCTGTATTAGAATATTTTTTTTGTACTCATTGTGCATTTGCTACTCTACCTGGATCCAAAAAAATGTTGAGGTTTCTTTGTACGTAACATTCGTTTCCTATTCGTACACAGAAACACATTTTAATTTGATATATCCAAAATTTGTGAAAATGCAATTTATTATTTTTACCTGTATTATAATCTTTTATAATATTCGGCGATATCAAAAGTCAAAAAAGTTCTAATAAACGCTTTCGAATGGTTTCATTTTAATGCAGCTTCCGGCACTTCCACAAATTCTTGCATCCTTATGAGCCGGTAAAATTTCTGAAATACAAGAGAAAACTCGAATGGTCTCAGGTGCGACGAGGATATACATGCCACCCTTCTCGATCGAACCATCTCGTTAATTAAATCTCCAAGTACACCCCGCGGCGTGAACTTGCAATCCCGGAAGCAACATGTGCGCCCACGGAACCGAATCAGAATTCTAACGCCTTCTCACTGAAATATTACCAGCAGCTTGTAAAAATTGATTATATTTTCAATATCAGGATTACCTAGCCGGTAATGTCTGCTTAAACGTCATTCGCGCATAATAAAAATTAATTCTTTCCAGTGGAAAGGTTTCTGAAACAGAAATTTTTCGGAAGAAAAGAAAAGGCTTGATATCAATTTATAATTAATTAATTCGGGTTAATAAGAATATAGCTATCATAAGTATCTGTTACTTTATTTATATATTATTATTCATTTGTATATCGTAAATGTTTAACTACTTGCAACAATAAATTTAATACGTGTCTCGTTAATAATAATGTTTAAAATGTTTTATTAAAATCCATTAGGAAACGTGTAAACATATTTTTCAATAACACGTTAATTATAAAGTATCATTTATTTAAATTTGCTACTATCCGTCTTCGCTAACTGACGCTGTCAAAACAGGAAGTTCAATATCGATCTTTCGACATAACGTTTAACGTATTAAATAAATATGATTCGATTTGAAAAAGAAAAAGAAAAGAAAAAAATGGAATAAAATATCAGCTAGTAATACGTAATACGAATAAATTATGTCAAATGCATCTAAAACACGTAAGTATTAATCGTTCCGCATTACATTTTTCAATTTATACGCTTTCGTGTAGGAATTGCAAATAAAAAGATGTTTTATTTCTAATCTAATAGTAGCAATGATAACTAGCGATAAAAGGAATTTACGTTTATTACGGTTTTCATAGGCCATCACGGCGAACGCACAACTGTGTATACCCAGAAACGAAGTATTCGAAGTTTAAAGACTTCCATAACACGATAAAATAGTTTCATCTCTCGCTACGAAGTTTTTCGCGAGGTATTATTATTCAACCGTTTTAAAACTGCAATTGAATTTGAGGAGCGATGTAACAAAATGAGTATAACGATGCCTAATGAAATCTCGCTTAATTCTTTTATTTCTCGTTCGAACAGATTTCCAGAACTCTCGAGTTCGTTCGTTTGTAACGTCAGAGAAAATGGAAGAATTTATCGGTAAGCAATCCCTCGTTATTTCATCGTCGATAAATTAAACCGCGATGTTGCGTTCGCGCCATTGATATTTAATAAGAAACATGGATTACTATGGATTTTGTCAGATTCGCCGATCAACCGCTGTTGAAATTCAAATGTAGCTGTCATCGTTAAATGCGATTATTCGTTAACGAGTTATTTGCGCACCCTTTGCGTTACGATTTCGAAAATTATTTACTCGGTAACTGAAACATTTCCTACGCAAATTAATTGTAAAATTGTTCTATCCAAATAGTTTGATAAAATTAGAAGTTTGTTAATTAAATTATGCTTACGCTGCCATTATTTAATTTATAGCATTTTTCGTTTTACCGATGTTATCAAATTTTTCTGAATTACTTAAGTACTCGTTAATTTTGTTACCAAGTTAATACTCGATTGTTATTTATTTGCTTTTGATGTATTCAGCGACGATTTTATCAATGGTCGATGTTGAAATATAATAATGAAACGGAATAATTATATAATTATAATTATAATTTCTAATTATTGAGTTGTTTGGAAATTTAATAGGGAAGTTCAAAAGATATTTTAGATCAATGTCTCTATTTCCACAGAGATCGTATTTTATTAGATAACGTATACGAGCATTTTTTCGTACAATTTTTCATCCTTTTTAACAATGAATTCCATCAACTAGTTTTTGCATTCATCTAAAAATATTCAATTTCTTTCCATTAGAGACT